CGGTGAAAAGCTTCCCAAAACAAGACCTCTTCAGCCATTCCCACTCAGCGGACCCTTGTAGAACGTCTCGCACGGCCAAAAGGTGATCGACGGTTGAATAGAGGTTGATCCTCTCGCTTGGAAAACGGTCAGTCGCAAAGAGACGCTCCGGTAAACGTCCGGTCAAACATTCAACCTCCGGCTCCTCTGTAAAGGAAAATAACCAAAACGAAACCATTATAAAACAAAGGATCTATAATCAACCAAGAACAAAAAGGAAAAAAAAAATTAATTAAAAATACCTTCCAAGATCTCTTTCCCACGGCGGCTCCGGCGTGGTGTCATCCTCTGTATATCACAACAACGACGAAACCCAAAAACCAAAAGAAATTAGCCTCTGTGGTAAGTCGGATTTTAGGTACAGATTTGTTTAGGTTCTCGTGTGTGGTGACGGAAATGGTGGTTTACTAAAACGATTATTAAATGAATTCAATCTCCACCTAAAATCCACCAATGAAAATAAAGATAGATAAAGGAATTATATTTTCTATAAATAAGATTCATTAAATTCAAAATTCAAAAAGTAACTAGAAACCCAACATTGTTAGCTTGCTCGGTCCATAAAGTCATCGTCTATTTGCAATTCACCGACAAAAAGTGCCTGAGTAGCAATAAGTGTCCTACACTGTAATAAAAAAGACGAAAGTGTCTCTTGGTGAAAATAACTCTATTTTCTGTTAGCAAATTTAAGTGAATTATCTGATTTGTAATTTCATATATATATATTTGCTCAACAAGAAAAGAAGTCTTTTTTTTTTTGAACAACTCAAGAAAAGAAGTCTACTGCACTTTTCTTTGGGGATTGATCTGAGTTATTTCATAGGTCTAAGATATTTTCATTTTTTTTTGAAAAAACCTACAATCGAGAGTTCACAATTGTAGAAACAATGTCTACGCAAAAATGTAACTGTACTTTATGCGGCTATATAAAGTTCATATTCTATTTATATACTTTAAGTTTTGTCTACGTTTACAAGATCTAATATTGTATTGTTTACTCTGATCTATCACATGTCTGAATTCCATGTTTAAGTATATATGATGTGGTTGCTTTTCGAACTAGCAAGCGCTGTTGAGGGCTATAGCCTACGAACTTACCATTTTTATTCTATTGTAAGCTTTCATCATTAGCTGGTCTAAGCATGAGAGTTATGATAGATGTTAAGTTACATTCATTTTGGTGTCAGAACCATTTAGCACGAGAAAAAGATTTATCACATCTTTTTGCTGGTTTCTCAATTTTCATTCTGTAAGACGTGTAGGAAGAATTTGACATAATAATGGAAGCAAATGGAGCAAAAAGATTGAAAAGGATCCGATTATGAAAGAGCTATAAACTCTAGTTTTCTAGAAGTTCTTGGATCAACGAAAAGTTTGTCAAAGACTTGAAGATGGAGCTGCAGCGACAGCCAGTGAAATGAATGGAGAGCCCTGAACATCTTCGTCCATTAATGTTCAGGGTTTTTCTTTTGTCTTGGTTAAATTAGTTGGATCATTGATGGTGTTGTTTGCTTCTTTCGTAAACAAACCATAATGATTAGAGTGAAATGTGTCGTTTGACTCAAAATGTGACCAAGAGAAATAATATTATGAAAACCTAAAAGCTCGTTGTAATGATAATTAATTGTAGGAGTTAGTGAAAGGCATTGCTCATACGATGATTTAAGTGGGGAACAGACGAACAGTTACATTATTTAATAAGCTTTAATCAGTTTATTTAAAGGGTTAGACTAACTGTCTAATTGATTAGGTGATCCGTAATCAATAACCCAACTCGACTATGTTATCCTTCTTTATATACTTTTATTGGTAAACCTAGAAGTATCTTTTGATATCTTTATACATTCAGCCTGTAACGCTCTGTAAGGTTCCTGATTATTGAATCTCAAAATGGAAACTGAAAACATTCAAATTGTACTGCAGATTGAAAAAAAAAAAGACATCCTCTTTATACAAGTTTGGGGATGACGTCGATATCACATTCAGATTGATGACTTGGCCAAGTCTTCTAAGACAGTCTTAACATCTCTAATAATAAAACATACTCTCTCCGTTTTGAATTAATTGTCATTCTGGAGAAAAAAATTTATTTCAAAATAAGTGTTGTTTTAGAGTTTGGAGACAAAATTTATTAATTTAATATGATATTTTTGTTCTATTGGTTGAAAAATGGTTAGGTGTATAGGTAATTGTATTTTTTTTCTTGCAAATATATAAAATTAAATGTTTTCTTAATCTGTGTGTGAAAAACGTAGAATGACAATTAAAATAAAACTAGGGAGTAACATAGATAACATCGTGTGTTCTTCTAATTGCCTAGAGTGTGGGGCCGAGGAGACACTGAAAACGAACGGCGTGGGTTAGCAAAATCATTGTCTCATACTAAAACTGTTTCAACGCCAAACACGTGGTCTTACTTTTCGCCGTGTCTTCAATCCGACGGTACATTCGTACTTTAAAATTAGGTTTGCTTTGCTCGTTTCGTATCAATAATCCAAAAGAAAACGTCTTTCTCGTATTTTATAGTTTATTTTTAAAAACTGTAGCTGCTTCATCATCATTTAAAATGTTTCAATACCATCTTCATTGCTTATAAAAAGAAAGGAATGTTCATAGTGATGCAGATCAACCTCAAGAGAAAGGAAGAAAAAAAACGAAGATCTCCTTAACTCAATAGTATATATTAATCAACCGATATTGATCTTTAGACAGGATTGTCGTCCATGTATGGCGGCTGGGCCGTCGTGCTTCTGGTTTGACGGTTCGACTTACTCTAAGCTATAGTACTTTTATGCAATCATTCGATCTCGTTTTTTAGTTTCTTCTTGTAGGCATGGAACTTTTACTTGATAAAGTTATATATAAATAGGTGTATATACAAACTATAAATGCAGGTAATTTTAATTTCAAGCTAAATCATATGGAGAAGAGGAAGATCACGAGATCTCTCTAGGCATGGGTGGGATTTTCAGTATAAAGATGGAATATGCATATATTAACTTCAAATATGATATAAGGTTTGCTCAGTGGATTGTTCTCACCTGATGTGTCTGGTGTTCCAGTCTTGTATCAATATATATATGGGGTTACTATATATAGTATAAAACTATTAAAGCATAGGCATAAAATGTATTAGAATATGCTCCATCTATGTTTCGTTAATCGCGTATTAGAAATGCGGCATTGTACTTTTCTAAGGTGTGTTAAAAGGCAAGTCATTTTTTCTGGCTATCAATTAATATAATTCAGTATCATTTTTTGCTGGTGGTAAAGGTTAGTTCTATAAGTATACAAATGTTGTGTTTTTATGTTGTAAAGTAGGCCAGTAACTTCGCTAAAAATTGAGGGTAAAAATAAATATAAGTCAATATGTAGTATGCAGTGTCAAATATTTAGCTAAAGTACTATAGTTATTTATTATACAAAATAATTTTTATATTTAGATTAATGTGGTCGGATTTAACTCTAAAAGTGAAATTAAAAACGAACTTTTTGAAAAGATTGTATCTTTTTGGAAAAGTATACACACACTTGGTTTAGGTTTCAAAAATCAGATACTAAACAAGTAATGAAACTCATAGCAAAAATAAATTGGGAAACTGTTTTTTTAGACCAAATAGGTTTGGATATTGTCCCTTTAGGCTAAATTATATTTTGTACCAATTTTGACTTTAATGCCCTTTATGTATTTTCGAAATTATTAAAAAAATAGATTTATGAAGCAAATTTTTTTTTAAAAATAGTACATAATGATGAAATCTCTATATCTATATAGTGATATTTTTTTCTTGTTTTAAAAATATGTAAATAATAATTTCATATATCTATTCTACCGAAATTAGAATATGTATTCTACGGATTAGAATACGGAATCTACTTTTTTCACTATTTCTACGAATTGCAGAATATGTTTTTTACTGAGATAACATGAATCTAAAATAGTTTGGAATACACATTCCACGCTTATCATATAGTTCTAAAAAGAGTAGAAGTTGAAATATAAATTCGTACTTAAATCTAAGACAAGTAGAAGTCAGAATCTAAATTCGCACAACGTTCTAATACACGTAGAAACTGATTTCATATCTTTTTACACAGTTCTACGTTTAGTAGAATCTGAATTCTACGGATAAATATTATTAGATCCGAAAATATAGCAAGAATATCTTAGAAAATATTCTATTATCATATTTAAAACTCCATTTTTTTTTAAAAAAAAAGGAAAATTCGATTTTTTTTTTAAAAAAAGGAAAATTCGATTTAAAAAAAAATAGGAAAATTCGATTTAAAAAAAAGGAAAATTCAAAGGCAAAAACGTTTTATTAAAAGGAAAATCTTTGGAAAATATTTTCCGGAATCTTTTTGATCAAATCGAAAATATATTGTTTATTTTTTTATTTTTTTTTATTTTTTTACTTTTGTTTTTGTTATTTTTTTTATTTTTTTATTTTTTAATTTCTAATACAATTTTTAATTAAAAATAATAATTTATTATTATTTTCTAATTATAATTACGAATTATTAAACTGTTTTAAGGGTATTATTGCCATTTAGAAAACAATTAATCTAATGGGACAATAACTAAATGAGATTAGACTAAATGGACAACTTCTTAATGGTTTTGGTCTAAAAAAACTATTTTCTCAAATAAATTAAGCTCTTAACAAAAAAAAAAGTAGTGTGTCAAAACTCAAAAGTTTAAATTGACTAATAGCAACATATATTTGAAACAAAAATAATGAGTCAATTTGACTTTGAACATACAACTTAATTTCCGTCAACATATAATTTTGTTTCATATTACATATATGCAAATAAATCCTATTTACAACTGAAGTCAAACCTACCTTAATTACTTACCACTCAAATTTTCTAACATATGATGTAATGCTTTAGAAGTAATCTTCACAATCTCTAAATTCTCTCAAGAGGAAAAAAAAAACTAATTCTGTAACTTCAACATGTCATTTGATTCGTGGTTTTTAGACGACACTCCATTACCAAGACTAGGTTTTCTCGGCCATGGAAACTATGGCTATGTCAGCCTGGTTCGAAACCGCGATGGACTATTCATGGCTAAGAAAACATCTCACCTCAAATACTCAGAGATGCTCGATAAAGAAGTAAGGATAATGGACCGCTTCTTTTCAATCAATTTCAACACCGTGAGAGCCACGAGCCCTGTGGTTTCCTACGAAACTATGCCATTCAACGTGAAAGTTTGTTCCATTCACATGGAAGTTGCACCACATGGTACACTCAGAGACATGCTAACCAACGCCGGTGGGGCATTACCGGAGAACGTCGTCGGTTATTGTATTCTCCAGGTTCTTGAAGTGCTCAGGGATTTTCACCAACACGGTTATGTGCATTGTGATCTCAAGCCAGAGAACATATTCATCTTCCCGAGCAATGCTCATGGAGAGCTTTGTGAACTCAAACTTGGTGACTTCGGTTTGGCTAAGGAGCCTAATGGACCTGATCCAGTGAATGGTTCTTTATTCGAGGGGAATCCGGAGAATTTGGCTCCAGAGGCAGTCGGGCCACGTGGAGTGATCTCGTCGGCGGTTGATATCTGGTCCTTAGGTACTATGGTACTTGAGATGATGGGGATGAGGAGTGATTACTTGCCGAGTACTCTATCGCATATTCCTTGGGACTTTGTGAGGAGATGTAAAGTGCGAAATCCTCGGAATAGAGCCACCGCGGAGGAGCTCATGAGCCATGGTTTTGTTAAACAAAGTCTTGGGGTTCCACCGCTTGAGCTGCTTCCAGTTCATCCTCTCTTAAGTAATGGAGTGGTCCAAGGAAAGCTTTTCTAGAGGACAAATGTGGGAATGTGCTGAAGAGGGCCGAGAGGTTGACGGTGGAGATGAGCTGAGATTGATTTTCTTCGGTGTCAAGTTATTATTGTTTAGTTTTCATGTTTTGCATTTTTATTTCTTATCAATATAAATCCAAGCTATTGTATTTATATTGTAATCAGTTCTATCAATAGAGTTTTTATCAATATTTTGCTGTGTTCTTATAACAAACCTCAAAGACGTGGACCTTTCATTACTGACCTTATGACCGGTATACTTTCTAAACAAGTTGGTTATCTTCATACCTCCAAGGCTTCAACATATCTCATCAGGTAATGACAACTATTTTGGACAAAAAAAATAGATTATAAATATCAAATAGAGCTGATCAAGACTATATATTATAGGAAAAATGGGCTTATTGAAAAAAGGCAGTGACGAATGAACATGATACTACTTATGGATTATATTTCTAACTTTTTATCATATTTTCTTTAAATGTGTCACTGTTGTCAACAATATATATAATATTTCACCCAAAACATACAATTACAACATATATACAATACAATTTCATTCAGTGATACACAATTTCTAAAACACACTACTAATTTTCTCGTTTTTTAAATATTTTTATGTCCACATAAAATGTGGGCTCGTCATCTAATAATAATATTCTCTCCCGTTTTATATTAATTGTCATTATATAGAAAATTTCATGTCACATAATTAAGTATCAATTTCAATTTTCAATGTAAAATTTATTAGTTTTGTTCTGAAATTTACTTTTCTACTGAATGAAATATGGTTAGATGTATAAGTAGTAATGCTTTTATATAGAAAATATACAAAATTATATGTGTATAAATCTAAAACAACACTTAAAATGAAAAATGAAACGGTGGAAATATTAAATAGCTTAAAATCATGTGCTTGTGGTTTCTCTTCTTCCCAACGCCATATGTTTTTTCCTTTACTCCACCCTCCTGTGTATATTTGTTGGATAATAACAGTTTTTTGATTGAACAAAAAAAATAAACTGTTTTTTGGATAAATAACAGTTTTTGAAAAAATGAATTGGACCCTGAATCTTATAGAAACTGTGGTAAAAAATTAGGGCTATGTGCTTATGCACTGCTGGTACACCCTCAGAGCAGGCACTGTGTGTATGTTGGTGTTTTGGTTGGCAATGTTGAACGTTGACCAGAGGAAACGGCCAATGGCGGAAGCTGTTCTTAGTCACCGATTCTTGAACAGCGTTGATATTTGAGAAAAGATAAAGATTATGTATTTACGTAATTATGTATATGGACTTGTTAATCTTTGGTCAAATTTTCTGAAAACATAATGTTAGATAAAATATAACTTCGGCTCTTTTTATATTAATGATCTGTTTTTATTTGGTCTGATGACTTGGTGGTATGGTCGCATAATTATAATGAAAACATTTCACGAAACAAAAGTTGCGTGAGACATTTATAATAAGCAGAGGTGTCAGGGCATTTCTTCTCACAAGATTCCAAGCAATCTGTGTCAGACCCGCATTTGATGTTACAATCTTTGTAGCAGAGCGTGGTCTCGTCTTGTGTGGACGTTACTGGTTTCTCCCTTTATATCATGGCAAATTCAGACAACATACATATATCAATACTACTACTAAAGAAATAATTTTAAAATGAACGATTGACATGTATGGCAGCAATACATACCCTAGGGGAGACGGTGGTGTGGGAACATTAGTATCCATTCCATTACATGGATTTAGACAAGAGTTCATTATCATCAATACCGTCACCATCATACACATTTTTCCTGCCATTTTCTAGTGCAGCTTTTTTATCTTAACAGATATAAAACTAAGAGCAAGATTGCCTTTGTTTTGTTTTTTTTTTTGACAAAGCAAGATTTTTGTTTGTTGGTTTGTTTATTTAACATATATATATATATATATATATATATATATATATATAGTGGATGAAAGTTTATTGGATTCACTCTCTAGGATAAACCTCTAGGTTCACCAACCAATAAGATGATGTTATTTTATATTTGATATCTTTTAAAAAAAGAAACAAAATCTTGTTAAGTTATATTATGTTTTTAAAATAAAAATAGAAAAATAAGTAAAAATAAAGAAAATTTAACTTTATATTATGTTTCAAAATAAAAAGATAAAAATAAAATAAAAACAGTAATAATTGCAAAAAACAATTTAAAAAAATCTTTTTATATATCTTTAAAAGGAAAACAAAATATTGTTACATTATATTATGTTTTAAGAATAAAAAGATAAAAATAAGTAAAAAATAGTATAATTGGTCAGTATTAATTTTTAATTTAATGTTTAAGATTTTTCCAAAGGGTTTATGATTTATCAAAGGGTTTAAGGTTTAGGATTAGGGTTTAGGGTTAAGTGTTAAAATATTTTTTTTTAAGATTTTTTTTTGTTTTTTGTATTTATTATTATTTTTTATTTAGTTTTTGTATTTTTATTTTAAAAACATAATATAACTTAACAAAATTTTAATTTTCTTTTTAAAAAGATATCAAATATGAAATAACACCATCATATTGGTTGTTGAACCTAGAGGTTCACTATAGTTATTCTTGGGTTCACCAACCAATAGGATGATGTTATTTCATATTTGATATTTTTTTAAAAAAGAAATAAAATCTTGTTAAATTATATTATGTTTTTCAAATAAAAATAGAAAAAATAAATAACAAATAATAATATTTACAAAAAAGAAAAGTTCTTTAAAAAATAATTTTAACACTAAAACACTAAACCTTAAACCTTAATCATAAACCCTTGGGTAAATATAAACCCTTTAGAAAAATCTTAAACATTAAATCAAAAAAATATTACTAACCAATTATACTGCTTTTTATTTATTTTTATCTTTTTGTTTAAAAACATAATATAATGTAACAGTATTTTATTTTTATTTTAAACATATATTAAAAGATTTTTTTTAAATTGTTTTTTGCAATTATTACTGTTTTTATTTTATTTTTATTTTTTTTATTTTAAAAACATAGTATAATGTTAAAATATTTTTTAATTTTTTTAGAAAAACATAATATAAATTTAACAAGATTTTGTTTTTTTTTTTGTACAAGATATCAAATATGAATTAACACCATCCTAATGGTTGGTGAACCTAGAGGTTCACCATAGTGGGTGAATCCAAGAATAAGTCGGCTCAAAAATATATATATACGAACAAAACTTGGGTTCACCCCCGAGGGTAAACCTTTAAATTCACCTTCCTCTAATAACCACACATTATGCCACATAGATTAATAAATAACAATTATTAAATATTTTTAAAAAATATAAAATAATTACAAAAAGATAAAAATAACGCTAATTTTAATGACGCTAATGCCAATGGCTAAACTCTAAATTCAAACCATAACCTTAAACCAAAATCTTGTTGGCTTAATTTTTGGAGATTACAGGGGAATGATATATTTGGTGGCTTACCGACACTAAACCTGGATGGAGAAAGCTGATGATATTGTTAGATGGTATGGTCGTACAATTTTATGTACTTTCCATTTGGGGTTTGAGTCGACCCATTATAAGTTTATAACCGAAACTTTTGACCCGTATTCGATCAATTATTTTTGGAGATTGAAGAAGTCAAAACCCTCATGAAATCTTGTTGTGCGTATGAAAAAAAACGATCATATTAATAGAAGTGAAAATTGTGTATGGGAATTAAAAATGAGTAGCAGTCGTGGGGCAAGTCTTCAAACAACGTTCCTTACGAGCTGAGTCAAGGTCCCATTGGTTGCTATCTCTGTAGCTCGTATCGCTTTTACCTTGTTCTGGCGCCATTACATGAAATATCATGTGGTGGGAAGGGCAACGTATTTCACACTTCAGCTGACATGCGTTTATGCGGCACTTCTCTAGGCAATATTTGAAACACACACGGTGGTCTTTTTATTTTTAGTAACCATTCAATACAGTTTTATTATTCAATACAGTTTTAATATTCAATTACATTTTTAATCAGAAAGAAGTTATAAAAGAAGAGATATGAAGAACATACATGCGTAGTCATCTATGCCGCACTTTTCTAGGCAATTTTTGAAACACACACGGTGGTCTTCTTTTGCCTCACTTTTTTTTTTTGGTTACAAACATCAGAAAAATGAAGGATCGGTATGGGTAGTTGTGTGACCTAAATTGAGTAATTTCGGATCTATTTGATGAGTAATGTTGGACCCAATTTCGGGCAGCAACCAAACAGGCCCAGATCCATACGTTGCCGTTCGAAACTCGGCCGTATCAAACATGATGAGATTGAGTTGCTGACCCGAAGATCGCAGAGACGGTTGAGAAGAATCAGCGAAGAATATGCTATAAAAGAAAGAGGAAGATAGAGAACAAGACATGCACAAAAACCCAAACTTCTTACTCAATAATTATTGTACCAAAGAGTTGGAAAGGGATGTGGTTAACTAAGAAGACCAAACTGTTCTTTCCCCATCTGGCCACCTGGTTTTGGTGGCTTCACAGGCCTCTAGAAAAGTTCGACGTCTTTCTCCGACTGAACCTGTGAAAAATCGAATGCATCCGGTAGTTGTCTAGTGAAAAAAAAAGTCTCCTCTTCCTTCTTCTCCTCATATTTCTCTTGCTTCGCACACACGATGAACCATCTATGGTTCCGGCTTGCTTTCGGTGAGGTTTTTGAGATGGGGACTTTGGTCGTGGAGATAAACCCACCGTTGTGTTGTGAGAGGCAATCCATATCTTTTGGTTTTGGCTCTAGTTCCAAGTAAAGGAATTGCATATTGTGGTTCATTACATAGTAGACATATGTGTGGTGTGTATGTGTTGGGGTTGAAATGGACATGGGACCACAAATGAATGAATGAATGATATAAATCTGGTTACGTGGGAGTTTAGTGATCTATTGATTTATTAGGCATCGAATTTTATTTTCTTTGGTTTATTTTGCTAATACTATATATGAGATGTATAAGGCAACTAGAATAATAAGTACTAGTATTTCTTTCTTTTCTCTTAATTTCTCCGACGTGGGGCAATTAGAGAAAGAAAAAAACAATCTACAGCCTTTTGCGATGTAATCGAATGAGTGAAGGACACGTGGATACAAAGCAAAAAATTAAATAATTCTCTACCATTCACCACTGTCTATACTTGTTCATGATGTCCACCGGGGAAGAGAGTTAGCGTCGGCGCTTCATATAACGTAGTGAAGACGGGTTTCATATCCGCTTTTGTGATTCCATCACAACCTTTTTACACTTCGCTCCGATCCCATTGTTCCCATATAGATTTGCATTCGTCAAAGTGAACGAGGACAATTGTTTTAGGGAAGAAGGCCTTGGTGGGTTTTTGGTGATGAAGACTTGCCGTTAAATGATAATTAATTTGTAGGAGTTAGTGAAAAGCATTTCTCATACTAAGTGCCGGCTTAGAGGGGTAGCAAACATGACAAATGCCCATAATCCACCTTAAAATCACATAATTTTGTAGAAAAAATAGGTCCAAAATTTTATTTTTTCTTCATAAAAAGGGTCTAAAATTTTTTTTTGTCCATGGTCCATTATAATGCTAAGACGGGCCTGCTCATACTATGATTAGAGTGGTAACAGTTTCAAATATTTAATGAGCTTCTTTAATCAATGTATTAAAGGGTTAGGTTAACTGTCTAATTAATTAGGTGATCCGTAATGAATAACTCAACTATGTTATCTTTTTAATAATTTTTATCTTGGTAAACCTATAAGTATCTTTTGATGATATCTTTATATGTTAACCTCTTGACAATCTGCAATGCTCCTGGTTGATTCACAAAAAAAGGAAACTGAAACATTTAGAATGTACTGGATAGAAAAACATTATCTCTTACAAGTTTGGAGATGCCGTCAATATCCGATTCAGATGATTTTGCAAAGTCTTCTAAAAGTCTTCTAAGACAATCTTAACATCTTAATAATAAAACATCACGTTCTTAAACCATCAGCAGCGGTAAGCTGTTCTATGGTCTCTCACCATGTTAATATTGAAAATTAGGAATAGAGTGACAATGAGCTGTTACATGGAATCGTATCCCACTCAAGTCACCAGTTAACCCAGCGGTACGCTTCCGTCAAACAGTCTGCCTCCCTCCCACAGGTATCTACTCCCCTATTCATCATTGGGTCTGCTGTGCACATCTGGATTGCAAGAAACAAACTTATCTTTGAAGATAAGACAACCCGACCTACGGAGGTAGCCACAAAGGGGTTAGCATCAGCTTTGGAATGGATCCAAGCACAAATTGTACAAGGGAAAAAGAGTCGAAAGATAACCCACCAGCGATTTCTCCAATCTCACATGTTTTGAGATCGTCATCTGAGACCTCCTGTTTCGTCGACGCCGCCTGGGATGCCACAACTAAACCAGCTGGATTGGCATGAAGGGTTATATCAACTCAACAGTCGCGGAATCTCTCAAAAGCCCAAGCAATAGAATACATAAGCTCCCCTCTGATGGCGGAATCGCTTGCTCTCCTCAACGCCATCGAATCGCTGATCAAATCCGGAACTTCCACAGTCACCATCTTCTCCGACTGCCTAACGCTCACCAAATCTATTTCTACTAAAAGTCAGATCAAAGAGATCTACAATGTCCTCTGCGACATCGATCGTCTCTCCGCTCACTTCGATTCTATCAGTGTCCAGCACATCTCCTGTTCTCAGCGAAAGTTAAGAAATAGTTTTTTAACTTTTAACTAAAAAACTAAGAACCGGTTCTTAAAGTTGTTATTTAAGAATCAGTTCTTAGCTTTTTAGTTAAAAGTTAATAAACAAATTCTTAACCTCCGCTAAAAACCATCCTAAAAATTTCGAATTAATCATGCTCTTAGAATAAAAAACATAAATATTGTCGTGTACTCTTCTAATTGGCTAGAATGTAGGGCCGAGGAGAGTGAGAACGAACGGCGCGGGTTAGAAAAATCATTGTCTGATACTAAAACTGCTTCAACGCCAAACACGTGGTCTAACTTTTTTCCGTGTCGACTACAGACGGTAAATTCGTACTTTAAAATTAGGCTTCTTGAATTTAATAGTTTATTTTTAAAATAATGTAGTTTCTTTATCATCATTTAAAAGAGAGATTATCATTAAGAGCCACTTTATGTCTTTTGTTTACATTATAGATCACATTTTCCTACTGAGGTAGTTTTTTTGTAACTAAAACTCAAACATTTGTCAACTACGTTAATTCCTCTAATCAAAATGGCCCCACATTTTTTATCACTTTCATCCTCTCTCAGTACCAAATATTTTTTTTCGCAGAGATCCATGGTCGTTTGTTTTGGAGCTAATCCAACCACCGTCACATGTCTATTTTTTTCTCAGTAACCACAAAATCACGGTATGGTCTATGCTGCGAGAATCCCTCTATCATGTGTGAAGTCGCTATAAATAAAAAAGTTGTACTGGATTGTCCAAATTGAAGGTTGCTCTTGCGCTCAGATTCTCATCTTCGTCTTGATCTCCTCCACGAATAAGAGCTTCGTCAATCTCCAACATTGAGATGCGTCAAGCTCCCATAGCGAATTCCTCCAGAATGGGATGACCTTGTTGTTGCCGTATTCATTTCATTTTGTGTTAAAAATGTGTGTATTTATCAGGATCTCTAAAAATATGAAAAGATTGAATTATAAAATGAACGAAATCGTGTGTAAATGAGTGAAAAAATCTTGAAACAAATGGAGGCGTCGTTGTTACAGAGATTAGGTTAGGAAGAAAATGACATCAGAATTACTACTCATTAAGTTAAGTTAAGTTGTTATCCACGTGTACAACGATTTTCATGTACACCAGTTAAGTTGTTCAATCACTCATATGTAAACATTATCGTAAATATCCACGTGTACACTGGTTACTAAATATATATACATGTACACTAGTTACTAAATATATATACATGTACACGAGTTACAAAATTTCTTGTTCAGCTACATGTGCAATATGTGCACATATGTTGCATTATACATATGTCCACCGAGCCACAAAATCCACATGTACACCTTATTAGCCATATGTATGTCGGTTTATAAATATTTACACTTGCACCTTTCATAATTGTTATCTTTTAAACATGATCCAGTTCAGAATTGCCTCTTTTGATAAAAGTAGTATTTGCAAATTGTTTTGATAAAGTCAACGTGTACACATAATTTTGAGTGTCTCCATGTACATTAATTTTAAAAGCTTACATGTACATCGTTTGAATTGTAGAGCGGATACGTTTAAACATACATTTACATAAATACATTCTAGATGAAGAATTTGATTTATCAGTGCGAGCAATTTTGGTGCCATAATGAGCAAACACTCTGAGTGCAGACTGAACACGAATACCATGTGTCATTGTTTTGTAACCACCAGTAGCACATAGCTTCACACTCACGGTCATGGGCTTCACATGCATTGTCGTGATTCTAAATTTCTGAAATTACAAAATATGAACTACATCTATATAAATGGTTTATAAAACTGTCAACTTGGAAATGCATATTCTCTTGTCTCCATACCTTGCATCATTGAGCAACATCTTGTGCATCAAGCATATAAGCATATGGTGAGAACTCATCTATGTGGCTTTCACATTCATTCTACCTACAAAAATCAAAATCAAGTCATGTAAATCCAATCCATAAATATATACATAGTCTCTTAAGGGAAAACACCCAATTGAAGAGAAACTTAGTAACATACACTAAAACATAGTATCATCAGAGATACTCACTCTAACTTTTTATTCACTTTGTAGCTCAGTTTCTTGCAGGATTTAGGTGTACACATGGATAATGTGAAACTGCATGGTACATGTGGACACATGAGAACAAGAAAAAAAATTTTAGTCTTGTGGATCCCTCTATGCCTTGGTGCAGAACTATGTACACAGATGGGGCGACGTCTTCTCTCTATGACTCACAAAAACTGAGTCTTCTGAGATTAAATAGAAGAATGCAGTGTGCCTTAAACATATCAAAAAGGTAAAACTCCATACATTAGTTCACTTTTTTTTTTTTGGACAACAATACATTAGCTCACTAATATGTTCAGAATTCAAAGGTTTATCAAAATCTCATTCAGTAAATTTACTATGTTTAATTTTGTTTTTGAATTACATACTTTTGAACTCAAGAAAATTATGTTACCTGAAGATGTTAATTATCTCTATTTTCAAGTCCTGGTCAATGTCAAGCAACTAAATCTAAAGCATTTTGCATATGATGTGTCAATTTAAGGAATATACTATGTTTGATTTTGTTTTTGAATTTAACTTAAGAAGATGATGTCACCTGAAAAAACTGATCATCTCTTTTTTGAGCCCTAGTCACTGTTAAGCTACTCAATCAGAGCATTTTGCATACGTTGTGTCCATCTCTCTGTTTTATAAAATCAAGAAATCATTTCTCTCTTGTTCAAAACTCAGAAACAATTATCGAAAATCAAAGTGTGTTCATATATAAAAATAAGAATTGAATCGGTGTTAATGAAATTGCGAGGTGGTCGAGATGTGAAAAGGGAAGAGGAGACTCTATTACCAAATAAAAAAGACGTAATCAAGAAAAAGAAGCAGACTTGGAAACAAAAAATCAACTTTACACAGGAAAAGTATAAGTAATTGCAGAAGATGAAGAGATAGAGGAGCTTATGAGTGAGTGTCTGCCATGAATTTTTGCGTACGGATCTGAGTTATCCTGAAGGTGATTTCACCAAA